AGGACATATTCCTCCTCCACGGTGACCACATGATCCAAAGGATTATCATCTAACATGGGTATAGAAGCATCCTCCTGGATATCATCGGTTATGTTTAAGTCATCATTGTGGGGTGTAGAGGTTATCTCCAGAATTACCTCCTCGTTCACATGAGTACTCTCTACATTCGTATCCAAGGATTGGTCATCCTCCTCACGGGAAACCTCAAGGATAGGTTCCAAGACACTAGTCGAGCCCTCATCTTGGACGTGGTCTAGTGATGTATCATGTTGAACCTGTATCAAGTCCTCTTGTTCCTGAGCAATGGCCTGAATAGCATCGTCAATCTCCCTGCTTTGTTTGGCCTTAAGCCGAGATGAGGATTTAGTAGGTGCAACCACTTCCTTCTTTTTTTTGGTAGTCATGAGTAGAAGAGGAGAGGGGGAGCTGGGCTGTATTACCCTGTCTAAGTAACCATGTGTACAGTTTCTTTTTTCAGCTTTGTCGAACGAACTGGAAGGAGCCGTTGGTGAAGATGACTGAAATTCAGGGTTCCTTGATGATTGAAAAGAGTTTATATGCTTGATCCACACACCTAGGGGAACCCAAAAACACCTTGGAAGGGACGATCGAACAAGAGAATCACGCGCAAGGGGTGTTGACCTTGCGTCGTGAACAGTAACGCCGACAGTGTTCTTAGTTGAAACCAGTCCAAAAGTCCCCAAAAAGAGCTTAAAACTTGGAGAAATTACCCCCCAGAGGAGCAGGAGGTAAACCGATCGAAATCCAAGCTCAAATACGACGATTAATGGAAGAAAAATGAGGATTGGCGAGAAATGTGACTCGAAATGAGATCATACGATGTCGTATTCAAAATTTAAGCCAATCTTCGTGACTCGGTTGATTTAGTAAGCCTGAAAACACTGAAGAGTTGTATGTTTTTTTCTATTCATAATTTGGACTTGAGTCGTGAACGAGAATTGTGTATTTTTGCATAGGGAACCCATTGCAACTCGAAATGAGATCATATGTTGTCGTATTCAAAATTTAAGCCAATCTTCGTGACTCGATTTATTTAGTAAGCCTGAAAACACTGAAGAGTTGTGTGTTTTTTTCTATTCATAATTTGGACTTTAGTCGTGAACGAGAATTGTGTACTTTTGCATAGGGAACCCATTGCAACTCGACGATAATATGTAAGTATATTAGAAACCGAAGAAAAAAATAGCATTTTACAATGCATCAATCCAAATCAACCTGACTATCTAAGCTAGAATAAACTAACCTAGATATAAAGCATCCAGAAAAATGGGACAGTCCCCACTTCACAAATTACTAAACACCCAAGAAAATAACAAGTCAATGTTACATATAAAGTGCATATCCTAGTACACAGGATACCACAAAATCAAGATCCACTCCCTCCCACATCAATAATATTAGGTATCCCTAATTGAAACTCCAAAGAAGGCTCGGAAGGGAGTAGTAAACTTTGAGTCAAAACAAACCTCCCCTTTCTTCTTAGCTACTCCCGGCATATCCTCGAGACATTTGGCGGTGAAAGTAAGTCCTTTCTTATCCAAATCATCCGTAAGTCGAAGAGAAGTATCCACTCTAATCACACTCGCGTGCACAAATCTAAACGGCTTGACAACTAACTTCAGTGTCTTACCGTTTATTACCTCACATTTGATGACCACATCATTGTACTTCAAGTCTTTTTCTTCCATCACAATCCTATCACTATCTTCCACTATGACCTTCGGTTCTTTTTCAGCAGCTATAGAAGGTTCCTGGGCAGTTAGATTAGTCACAGCAGTTCCCTGGTCAACTTGTTTTAGCATGGCAACATTGGCAGACCCCTGGGAAGACTTCTGCCCTTTATACCCGGTCGGGTCAGGGCTGCACCCAGTCGGTTGGGCAGCAACATGGGCAGCAGCAGTGGGCTGGGCAGCAGCAGTGGGCTGGGCAGCAGCCTCCTCCTGGGCAGCAACAGTCGGCTGGGCAGCAGACGGCTGGGCAGCAGTCTCCTCCAATCTATTTCCCATATCTATGTTCCCCACCTGTGTTGGCATATCACAACTATCCCCATCACTTTGTTTTGCTAGTCGTTTACAAATAAATGGGTGGTGCCCAAATTCTTTGCAATGAAAGCAAAAGTTAGGGAAACTTTCATAGAGCACGCTTTGTTTAATTACCTTTTGGGAAGGTAGTCGAATAGGAAAAGAAAGCGGTGGTGGCTTAGAAATATCAACCTCTATTAATACCCTAGCAAAATCATTATTAATTCTTCCTTGAGTGACCTTGTCCGTAGTTATTGGAACCCCAACCATAGAGGCTACCTCACTCATAGCCTCATCATTCCATAACTTCATTGGTAGTTTAGGAAACTTAACCCAAATTGGTATTTTTAGAAATTCCTCATCCTCAAACGAGAAATCCTCCGAGAGTTCTTTGAGCATAAGGAGTTTCCCAAAAACCGTGTACGGTCCGTCATGTAGTACTTTCAATCTATCCTCCTCATTTTGAAATTTAAAAATTATCCAACCCTTGTCATGGGATCTCACGAGGCATTTCACCCCCCATTTAGCTTTCAAATCATGGACTGCTTTGAGTCCAGGGAACTTACCTGTGAAGTGTCCAACTAAACAGTAACCCCACATTTCAACCATAGAGGGTAATATCCGATTACCAAAGTCCAGCGTTTCTCCTTTAGGAGGGATAAATCTCAATTTAATGCCATGCCTAGGATCCCGATTATCCTTGAATAAAGAGCTCCAAGGTTCAGAGTTACCTGTCACAGTTGCTGCATTGGATTGCCCAGATTGTTTTTGTTTTGAAAACTGCCCAGGATTCCCAGGTAGTTCAATACCCAAATCCTCCTGTGAAGCCAATTGCTCAGCACCTGGGACTAAGTTCACTGCCTCAGTAGCATCTCCCTCAGAGACCATGACAGCAGCAGCCCCAGTTGATTTCCCTTTCTTCTTCCCACTGATCCCAGAGCATAGAGATGGGAATTCCATTTCTGTGTTTGCAAGCAGAGCAAAACAGGACCTGGTAATTCGACCTTCCCCAGACCCCTGCAACTTCCGCCCCATAGCAACTATTACAACCAGCAAAACCGAACCCCTGCTTAAATCTACTTGCGCAGAACCGAACCCCAAACACTAGCAAAAACGCAGCATACGTTTTGCTCTTGTGCAGAAACGAACCCCAAGCTCCAACAGACCGGAGTTTTAGGTTTCAGCTAATCGTCCGTCACAGATGGTGTCATGTTTCGGTCGCCATAGTCAGCAAAGCTCCAAACCAGGTCCGCGATGAACTTCGAAATCAAGTCAGGCGCACCTGCAACTAGATGGGGAGCAGCGACGAATCACGAGTCTCAGTCCTGTCTCAGGTTTCAGAAGCAATATCGACGAGAGATGAAGAAGCGTGAACAGTGTTTCTCGATTCGTGTTTTGGGTTTTTAGCAGAAACCGACCTTCCAAGCTCAAATCTAGGTTTAAGGATGGATTACGATCAAGAACAGCAACAATCAACAAACACCAAACATCAAATTCTAAGAATCAAGCACAATACTCATGGAATTTTTTGGGAAAAAGAACTGGGTCGCGAAACCCAGGAGAGAAGCAGCTCTCAACTTTTACCCAATGCAACTCGACCCATTGCAACTCGAAATGAGATCATATGTTGTCGTATTCAAAATTTAAGCCAATCTTCGTGACTCGATTTTTCTAGTAAGCCTGAAAACACTGAAGAGTTGTATGTTTTTTTCTATTCATAATTTGGACTTGAGTCGTGAACGAGAATTGTGTATTTTTGCATAGGGAACCCATTGCAACTCGAAATGAGATCATATGTTGTCGTATTCAAAATTTAAGCCAATCTTCGTGACTCGATTTATTTAGTAAGCATGAAAACACTGAAGAGTTGTATGTTTTTTTCTATTCATAATTTGGACTTGAGTCGTGAACGAGAATTGTGTATTTTTGCATAGGGAACCCATTGCAACTCGAAATGAGATCATACGATGTCGTATTTAAAATTTAAGCCAATCTTCGTGACTCGGTTGATTTAGTAAGCCTCAAAACACTGAAGAGTTGTATGTTTTTTTCTATTCATAATTTGGACTTGAGTCGTGAACGAGAATTGTGTATTTTTGCATAGGGAACCCATTGCAACTCGAAATGAGATCATACGATGTCGTATTCAAAATTTAAGCCAATCTTCGTGACTCGGTTGATTTAGTAAGCCTCAAAACACTGAAGAGTTGTATGTTTTTTTCTATTCATAATTTGGACTTGAGTCGTGAGCGAGAATTGTTTATTTTTGCATAGGGAACCCATTTCAACTCGAAATGAGATCATACGATGTCGTATTCAAAATTTAAGCCAATCTTCGTGACTCGGTTGATTTGGTAAGCCTGAAAACACTGAAGAGTTGTATGTTTTTTTCTATTCATAATTTGGACTTGAGTCGTGAACGAGAATTGTGTATTTTTGCATAGGGAACCCATTGCAACTCGAAATGAGATCATACGATGTCGTATTCAAAATTTAAGCCAATCTTCGTGACTCGGTTGATTTAGTAAGCCTGAAAACACTGAAGAGTTGTATGTTTTTTTCTATTCATAATTTGGACTTGAGTCGTGAACGAGAATTGTGTATTTTTGCATAGGGAACCCATTGCAACTCGAAATGAGATCATACGATGTCGTATTCAAAATTTAAGCCAATCTTCGTGACTCGGTTGACTTAGTAAGCCTGAAAACACTGAAGAGTTGTATGTTTTTTTCTATTCATAATTTGGACTTGAGTCGTGAACGAGAATTGTGTATTTTTGCATAGGGAACCCATTGCAACTCGAAATGAGATCATATGTTGTCGTATTCAAAATTTAAGCCAATCTTCGTGACTCGATTTATTTAGTAAGCCTGAAAACACTGAAGAGTTGTATGTTTTTTTCTATTCATAATTTGGACTTGAGTCGTGAACGAGAATTGTGTACTTTTGCATAGGAAACCCATTGCAACTCGACGATAACATGTAAGTATATTAGAAAAAACCGTCAATAGTTCGTCTGTACAGCAAAAAATATGAGCAAAACTGTAGGCTATCCAAAGATTGGATAACCCATCACCTGCCAAAATAAGGGTGCCATGGCAGCCCCCCCTATACTACCTCACGGCCTATCACAAACAAAAATAGGTGATGGGCGGAAAGTTATCAAAGTACTACCAAATCATAAGGATAGATGCAATACAGAATTTTATAGACAACATATTGTATCCTGGCAAAAACTTCCTCCTCCTTTGGCAAAAAATCATCAAATCGAGCTGCATTCCTGACTCTCCAAAGCGAGTATATGGTGCACAAGAAAGCAATCCTGGCGGCCTTGGCTCGTACATTAGCTCCACTCCTTTCCTTCTTGATCCATTTGACCGCACTAGCTAGGGTCCCCATCATTCGTGGAATGCCAATCCATGCTTTCATCATAGCCCAAACTTTTCCTGAAAAAGGGCATTCAAAGTAGAGGTGTGGAACCGTTTCCGGTCCACCCTTGCACAATACACAAGTATTATCCACATCTAATCTATGAAGATTATCACACGTGGCTAATCTGTTACGGAATGCCAGCCAAGTAACAAAGGAAAACTTGGGAGGGATGTAATCTTTCCAAATAAACGGCATCCACACACGGGTGGCAGCCCTAGGCCTAAGCAAATCATAAACTTTGGAGGATACAAGCTTACCATTCATCTGAAAAGCATTTAAGCCAAGTATAGCACTCGGGATGTCCTGGAATTTGGAGAGTATTTCATCTCGGATTTGTGCAATTTTTTTAAACAATTGTGAATCTCTTTCGTGTGGGACAAACTCCCACACACACCTACCCTTGAGATAAACCCCATGGACCCACTTGACCCAAAGTGTGTCCTTTTTTGTATGTATATCCCAAAAAGTTTTTGAAAGTAAAGCCTTATTCCAAACTTTTGTGTCATGTATGCCAAGTCCACCCTCTTCTTTAGGGAGACAAATATCAGCCCAGGCAACCCTAGCGAATTTGCTTCCCCAAAGAAAAATGCGACAAATGGATGTAATCCTATCAAGAATAACATTAGGGATGGGAAACATGTGTAACCAAAAAGAGTGCACTCCCTGTATAACGGACTTTATCAGCTCAACTCTGCCTGCATAAGATAAAGACTTAGTACTCCAAGCATTAATGAAAGTAGTTATGGACTCCAAAAGTGGTGCATACTGGGCCACAGATAACCTTAAGGGTGCCAGGGGGACCCCTAGGTATTTGACCGGGAATGCACCAATTTTGAAATCCACCAGTTCTAGTATAGTGTCAAGCTCATAATATGCATTACCACCAAGGAAGATATTTGATTTATCGTAGTTGACCCTAAGGCCAGATAGGTTACCAAAATCTTCCAAGGCTTGTGTGAGAATCTGTATAGATGTGGTATCCCCTCTAGAAAAAAGCATCAAATCATCAGCATAAGCCACATGTGATATGTTAAGGGATCCACACAGGGGGTGGTGGTTAAACATAGGATTTTTGGTCCTAATGTTCAACAATCTGGAAAAATATTCCAAGCAAAGGACAAATAAGAGGGGGGACATAGGATCCCCTTGCCGAAGCCCTCTCTTACCCTCAAAGTGGCCGTGAAGCACCCCATTAATAGATATGGAATAGGAAGGTGTGGTGACACACTCCATAATCCAATGTATAAATCTGCCCGGGAAGCCCAAATGGGTTAACATGGCAGCCAGGAAATCCCAGGATATAGTATCATAGGCTTTCCGGAGATCAACCTTTATCATACATCTAGGAGATGCACGTTTCCTAGAGTATCCCTTGATCAGTTCTTGTGCAACGAAGACATTATCAATCATAAGTCTTCCATCAACAAACGCCCCTTGGGCGTGGTCAATGAGGTCCGGTAGACACGGGATCATTCTCTTAGAAATAATTTTGGTAATGACTTTGTAAACCACATTAGTACAAGCAATTGGTCTAAAGTCCGCCGGTGTGGGAGAGTGATTGGTCTTAGGAATTAAAGCAATAACCGTATGGTTAGTTTGCTTTAATAACCTGCCAGAGCCAAAGAAGCCCCTCACGGCTCTAGTAAAGTCAAAACCAACGGTGTTCCAATTTTTTTTAAAAAATGCGGATGTCTAACCGTCCGGCCCCGGTGATTTGTTATCACCAATATCAAACAAGGCCTCCTTGATTTCCAAGTCGGTGATAGGAGCAACCAAGCCAGGAGTGGCATTGGCGGGTAAACACCTACCCGAGGCCACCACAGAGGGGTCCAACCCGGAAGTGGGGTAGTAGGCACCAAACAAATTAGTATAAAAATTCACTAATTCCGTAGCAACTTGGTCAATAGAAGTGGTAGAAATCCCATTTTGGAGTTTTAAAGCCGTAATGGAATTTCTAGCCATATTCTTTTTCACAATAGCATGGAAATATTTAGTACATTTATCACTTTGAACAAGATGATTTGCCTTAGCCTTTTGCTTAAAAAAATATTCTTCGGCTAGTTTAAGGTTAAGAAGTTTCTTCTTGATCAAGGAGAGTTCTTCTTTTATAGTTTCATCCAACGGAGAGAGTATAGAGAGCCCGAGGAGCCTTTTATACTCTTTCTTGGAGTCCTTAACTCTTTCGGAAATGTGGCCAAAGTGGAGTTTATTTAGCTCTCTAAGCGGTCTTTTGAGGTCCTTCAATTTCTTGGCTAAGATGAATTGGGAGCTACCGTATACCTCTCTATCCCAATGGGTGGTGAGGATGGCATTGAAATTTTCATGATTTAGCCACATATTAAAAAATTTAAAAGGCCGAGAGGCAGCCCCATTAGTTTTCCCAATGGAAACCATGGAAGCTACATGGTCGGATTCAAGTTCGAAATCATGAAAATGTGTTTTGCACTCAATATCCAAAGTAGACCAAAAAGAATTAATAAGAACTCGATCTAGTTTAGCCCAAAGGGAACCTCTATTCCAAGTAAGGAATTGGCCCGTGGATGGACAATCAACAAGATTAGTTTGCAATTTAAAATCATTTAAATGTTGCATATTATAGGCCGAGGGAGGGGTAGGACCCACCCTCTCATTCGGGCATCCAACACAATTAAAGTCTCCCATTACTAGCCACGGGCTATTAATGTTAGGCTCCAAGTTTGCTAGATGATCCCAAAGGGCCTTTCTCTCAAGAGCCGTATAGAGAGCATACACAAAAGTAACAAGATACTCAATTTGAGTAACCTTACAAGTGGCGGTAAGGTGTATATGTTGCTTGTCAATTTCAAGTACATTAATATGAGCAAAATGTGGGTCCCAAATGATGCCAATACGGCCACCATCAATTTTGTCAAAATTAGTAATAGATAGCCAAGAAGGTAATCTATTTGAACTAAAATTAACAAAATTAGTAGTGGTCATTTTGGTTTCAAGGAGACAACACAAATGAATATTATTAGTGCGAATAAACTTAAGGATAGAGTTTTGTTTGGAGACCTTATTGAGGCCTCTTATATTCCATGCGGACACAATCATCAAGACCTTTTGTTGTTGTTCCTCCTCCCACCTTTCTTTCCTTGGACTCTCGGCCTAGCCTCATTTTTTTTCAACAAATGGCTCGGCTTTGCTCTTGCTTTGTACCTAGTAAGATATAATAAAGTATAGGGAAATTCAATAAACCAAGAGTTAAATCCATACCCGTACTCCGTAGCAACGACCCCCGGGATAGTCTCCAAGCATGTAGTCGTGAATGTGAGTCCCTCGGTAAGCTCATCTTGGGTGGCTCTCAAGTAGTTATCAAGCCTCACCATTTGATCTTTAACTTCACCGGAATGTAGTAGGTGAATCAAAGGTAGATTATCTTTGCCAAGTTCAAGCTTAACAATGACATCATCTCGGTATGCATCCCTAATATCATTCACCACACGTACTTTGTTGAAATCTTTCATACTTGGCCTTTTTACAAGCGAAGCTTTCCCCCTCGGGCATCCATCTTCATAATATCGGCATAAGTAATGTCTAAAAACAGCCCTCATAAAAGAAGGATCAAAAGTATACTCCTTGTCTCTTATTGTTATTCCGGGAAGATCTTCAAGGCATTCTTTGGTGAAAAGCATTCCGGGTTGGTCTTCCTTTACTATCTTGAGATGATGGTCCATCTTGATAATAGTAGCATCCTTATCTACATGCTTCTTGTGAGTAACATTGATATTTGGCATGAGCACCTCTGTAATACCCCAAAAATTTGGTAGAATTTGAAAAGTAATTAAAATTATGTTTCATATCGTTTAGATGGTCTTGGGATAGTTTACTATGGTTGGTTTAGTGTCTCGGACCAAGGGGAGGTGCAAACGGGGAAGAAACGGAGCAAAAACTAAGGTTTGGGGCGTCTGGGGGTCACGCACGGCGTGCGTGGGGTCACGCACGGCGTGCGTGGCATAAAAATTGAGCGTAATAGCTACTGCCAGGTACGCACGATCGTGCGTAGGGAGGTACGCACGATCGTGCGTCCCTATTTTTTCCTAGTACGACCCAACTTCGGAAATTCGCTATAAATACATCCCTAATCCGATTTTCCTCATTCCAAAAACCCTAGAACCGCCTCTTCAAGCTCTATCTCTTCCAAAACTTTAATATTAACATATCCAATACGATTTTTGAGTCCAAGGACGAGATCAAACGATACAATCTTTCGGTAAGCGTTTTTGTTGCCTAATTCGCATCGTTCATCCGTTTTCTTGATTTCTTTCTCCTAAATTGTGATCCTTCGACCCTATAACTTCCTAGGGACGTGTGAGTGACTCCTCAAGCTAGGTTTGACATTTAGGATTCGTTGCTAGCCTCGAGGTAAGGACTATTGCAACCAAAACTACTATTTTGCCCCTATATGTAGTAATTAGGGTTTGTGCTACGATTTGAGTTTCTTTATGAAATTTTATGAATATTTCGGTTATTATAGTATGGATATGATGATCTATGATTTTATGGGGATTTATGAACGTGTGATTTAAGGTAAATTTATCAAATTAGTTGCTTGACAAAAATTGTGATTTCTAGGAAATAGTTAATTTGGATTGGAAAATTTTGGAGAATGCTTTGGTGTGAACTGAGCTATGTTATGAACATCTTTACTACCATATTTTGAGAATATATTCTGGGTTTGGAATACCCTAATTGGTGGTGGTGATAGATGCTATTCTTGGAAAGTGTTGTATTGAAACTTTTGCCAAAAATTGTAATTAATGATTTCTGAATACTTTGAGCACCCGGGAGTAATCCGTGGTGTTCGGCTCTACATCCGGTTAAATGTAGAACTGTGGTCTAGGGTGGTGCTACTATTATCTGGTGGATAGTTTCTTTGGCGGTTTTGGATACTTGGATATTATTATTGGCTTCGGTTTTGTGGTAGTAGTAGCACCTAGTCCACTTTTATCTTTTCCTAGGGTAGTCGGTAGAGACTTAGCTAGTCTCGACTACTTGGACTTCTTACTACTCGGAGGGCTTGGAATCCCTTTTAGGGGGTGTGCACATTTAAGGTAGAAGTTCAGTTTCCAATTGGTGGGTGGTGGGGTCCGGGTTTATCGGTCAGTTCATAGGTGATCTCAGTAGCTTATGCAACCGTCTGGGACACTCGGGGTGATGCGTGGTAGTTGGTGACCACGTATTCGCTTGGTCTGGGTTCTCTTTTTGGGAACTCCCCCATCCTTAAAATAATGTAGAAACAATTAGGGGATATGAGTTTGGTGGATGAAAATCATGTATGAGTTTGAAAAGAAGTATTTAAATGTGGATTTGTTTGAAACCGTCCTTCTTACTTATACTATTTAATTATGAAAACATTTGTTTTACCTCGCCGTTTTTTGGACTTTTATGTATGTATCAAGAACTACATTCTCAAACTATATTATTTTACGGGGTTGGGTGGGTCTTACTTAGCTAAAAAGCTAACTTTTATTTCTTTGCTTTGTTTTCTTTTCTGCACTTAATTTGGTGCAGGTGATGAAGAGCATGCTTGATGATGAGAGCCCCGATAGATCACTTAGATTCGTTACTAGTTATCTTTAATAAACCTGAATTTAAGAACTTGTTATTGTTTTATTTGATTATGTTTTGAACTCCGTATTTATGTTTAATGTTGGATTGTGATCTAGCCTGTGCATTCGGTTATGTGAGAACCGAGTGTGGCGGTAACACCCATTGAATATTAAGCTTCCGCTGCAATTTAAACTATTTTGGATTAAAGGTTTTGGGTGATCCTATCTATTACCGCTATTATTAGCCTCTATTTTGGGTATAACTTTGGGGGTGTTACAAAATGGTATCAGAGCCTTTATTTTACAAAATCTTTTAAAGGTTTTCTAAAACTGTTGAATTGACTAAATGATTTTATTAATTAGGATTCAAGAATCTGGTTAGGAATAAATATTGAGGATTAGGCGCGTGTGAGATTGTGAGATTCTTGTATGTTATATTTTGCGTTGTTGTGAATTGCTTTTGAGATTTGTGAATTGATTGAAATTGTCTCAATGGTTGCTCCTAGATAATTATTATCCTAGGGTATCTTATGAGTTATCGAACTTGAGAACTGTTGTGAGGACCTTCCTAGTATACTATGTCTTGTGATATTAAGTAGAACTTAGTGGACTGTTTCAGGAATTCCTAGTTTCCTAAATTCTTTGTTTTTCTTTTGTAAGAACTATGACTACTAGGAGGAACAACCGTGAGGACAACGCTCCTACCAATGCGGAGTTAGCTCAAGGTTTGGCCCAGCTGGCTCAACTTGTTCACCCCATTGCGCAAGCGGTTCAATTGAACCAAAACCAGCAGCCACATCACCATGGAAACGACGTGAGCAGACTGATTTCGGGAAGGAATCCGCCGAAATACTTGGGAGAGGAGGATCCACTGATATTAGAGGATTGGATTAGGACCTTTGACAAGCTCTTTGATGCGGTAAACTGCCCGGAAGAGTCCCGAGTTGATGCAGCAGTGTACTACCTTCATGAGGAAGCTGACTTTTGGTGGGAAACCGCAGGCCCTGCACTCAAATTGCAACCCGGGTTTTCATGGGAAAGATTCAAGGGAGAGATCCGCGCACGATTCTATCCTCCACACGTACAAGACGAGCATAATGAGAGGTTCCAACGACTGAAGCAAGGAGATATGTCAGTTCAGGAGTATCACAAGAAGTACCTAGCACTGGCAAGGTTTGCAAGCACCATAGTGCCAAACGAGGCCACTCTGACATCACGGTTCATCAGGGGGCTGAACTGCGAAACACAGAAGGCCGTGACTGTTTTGAAGTGCACAACACTCGAAGATGCATATGAAAGGGCTGCCAAACACTACAGTGTAGAGCCACCGGAAAAAGAGACACAAAAGAAGACTAAGAGAATTGCAGAGGAAGAACACATGAGAGATGAGAAGAGGTTCAGATCAAGTCAG